TTTCTTCCCTCTGTCTTCCCCGCCATCCCTCTTTTACCGCCTGTGCCTCTCTTACCTCCCCGACCTCTTTACGCGTTACCTCTCTCGCGAAAGTTTCGATCTTGGGTGCTTCACCCCTTTTAATACGATTACCAGCCGATGCGAATTCGCGTCGCGCTCTACATCGTTGTTGCGAAAGCCTGCAGCATCCTCCCCCAATGGCAACGGCGCCCTAGAATTCATTTTGGTTATGGGGCAATTTCACAAGTCGTTGGTAATTTACGAAAACTTCCCACGACGGGGCCGACCGATCTGCGAGGTAGACCTGATAAAAAGCGGAATGGAAGCGTTTGCGAGCACTCCCTACAAATTGCTCGCCGTATTTATACAGATACATGTGTCTATCTCCGCATTTAGGATAATTTCGAGATTTTAAATTGTTTGAAGCTAATTTTACAGATTTATATTCTCTCGAATTAATCTGTCCAGAAACTCAGCATTGTATTTTTCTAAGCACAGTCGTCCTCAAGCACATTTTACGTTTTTAAAATCGTAAAACAATATTTTCTTTAAATTAGGCATCGCTAAATAGATTTATTACATTTGAAAAGAAAAATAAAGCACAATAATAGCAGACAAATATATATATATAATAATATAGTCAAGCTTGGAGGAGATAAAGTTAAAAACAAATCATCTCGTATTCGCAATCTAGACACCAGTAACTCTCGTTTACACTTCCACGAAATATCATTTGATTACGCTTCATCAATCCAGTTTTACTATCACCCGCAATTTTTACAACCGTGGAAAATCACGTTCGGACTGCGTTCGAATCGAGAATCAAATTTTTACGCCGGTATTTCGAGAACACGTAATCGCGGTATAAACTACTTTCGAATTTCGTCGATTCGAACAGGAGTTTTCTCATAGTCGTCCTTAAAAATTCGTCCCCAAAATCGTTCCGCCGAGACCGGACCCTCCATCATGAAAACGGGAACGTCGAAACAGCACAAGATTACGGATCCCGCGCCGTTTACGGTATTTCGCGCGATGGCAAGTTTGATCGTCGGCGGTTGCAATTTGCGGAACGTCAAGATCGCGAGGACTGTCGCGCGAAAATACGCTCGAAATTTGCGCGCGGCGCGGAAAGCTAGGCAAGAGAAAAGTTTTTATTTCGGCATTTGCGAAATCGAGTTCTTCCCGTCGACTTTCTCTCCACGTGCTCTCGCACCATCAGCACCGTCGTTCCGCGTTTCGTCGTCTTTGCCATTCTGAGTGCCGTAAAACAATGTCGACGTACGAATCTGCGGAAAAGGTTCCGAACTTCTCAGCGTGCCCGAAAGTGCGTTGTTCGTGACGAATGGAAACGTGTCAAGGCACACCCAGGCGTATTACGCAATATTTTGTCGTGTACTGGTCTCACTGAATATATTTAGACGACGCATCTTCGAGAGTTTGTTTACAAGCGTCTTGATTTATCGGCGAATCAATTTAGTCGCACATTGCGAGTGATTAAAAGTTAAATTTTTACAAGCCAGCATTCATTATTGTCCCTTTGTAATCTCATTGATGTCCGCTATTCATATTTGTGACACTATATAGTAATTCAAACAAGCATAATTTTCATACATGATTTATTACAGCTTAAGAAAGATGAAATATTGTTTTCAAATTCTAATTCAATTTACTTTCTACTAAATTTGGAACATCGTCAAAATTCATACGAGATGTTATACAACTCTTCTTAATTCTACACATGTACGTGTATTTTATGGTTTATTCATTTATCTAAACATGTTCGGATAGTTTTACAAGCGAAATCGCACTTAAATTACGGCTGCATCAAATTTCGCGAATTATAAGTTAACGCAGTTTGCCCGTCGTTTTAATTAGCAAGATCTATTAATTATTCATATGTTATGGCGAAGTCGGCTTTATTAGGAGAAAAGAAGACTTCGCAGGTGCTTATTTTCGGTTTCTTCGGGGGACTAGTGAAAGTAGAGAAACACGAAAGTTCACCGTTGAAATTTTCGATCTGAATAAGATACATCGATACTAAGGTTCAATGACCGGAATTTCCATTTATTTTAATTCGGAATAATAGATTCACACAGACGTGCCACGACAGGTGATATTGCATTAAAAAATGGCTAGAAAATTTAATGAGTTATGTTTTCTATTTAATACTAAATACGTCGATAAATATGTCACACACTCAAATTGAATTTATTTTCGATTATAGTAAATTGAAAATGAAAGAAACACGGCTTTGTTATGTGTTCAGACTTTAAATTTGCGTGAGAGAATCTTTTAATTTCATGTTTAATAACTCCAATTATGCTTTGGACAATTTTAACGTAGGAAGAGTTGTCTGAATGTACCGTAAAAACGAGATCGCACAGTGCGCGAGGAAAGGGACACGATTTTTTCCGCGTTTTTTTTCCGCTGCCAGTGTATAAACCAACTTGCAAATAGTAACGGTAAATGCAAAAGGGAACTTGTTCACGAGGGAAACAAGGACCGCAGAACCGCAAAATTTTCCATAAAGCTGTCGGCGCGCATTCCTTCCGCGGCCGCTTCCGAAGCTCGCGCCCGTGGGAGCGGTCGTGAGAAAAAGAAAAGGCAACAAAGACGCAGTATTTATAAAGAATCCTAACGACTCCGTAATTAGTGTAATTACGGAGCCGTGTCTTGCTCGGTCTTAATGCTCACGTCACTCGGAACGCGTTCTCTCCGTAATTCCTTCTAATGTATCTGCCGGCGAAAAAGGGCGGCCGGGACCCGGCCCGGGGACCGGAGGAGGATGGAGACCCCCGACGCTGCGACAGTGCGACTGCAGTATCTAGATCGAAGCTGGTGCGCTCCCGGTTGCGAACGAGGGAGGATCCTCCTCGACGATTGCCAGCCAAGAACGGATTACCTCTAATCTCTGACATTAGCTCCCGCTCTGCATCGACCGTGCTTCGCGCGCTCCTACAGGAATATGTCTCCATTTACTTTCTGTTCTTTTTCTCGGCACCTCGCTCGTGAATACCCGAATAAAAAGGATGACGCGGATAAATCTTGGCGGCGCCTGCTAGCGGACTCTCAGTGGAAATCCTTTGGAAACTGCTAATTATGAGAGGGCGCCTGGCCAGCAGCTAAATACGCGCTTTACCCGTTCAAAAGCGATAGCCCGTTTGAATCGCGTAGCTTTCAGAGAAAACTCGTTTCTCTGTCTGCGTCTACGCTGTTTCGCCGGGTATAATTAACACTTGTAGTAATGACATTGCAATTCTCGAAGGCCGTAATATTCGGTAATCCTATTTCTAGCGATGTATCTCGATTCTAATTTCATTTTCTTATTTCTTCGCGTTAGTTAATATCATGCATATATCCAAGTATTCTTTATTACCAACATATACACATACTTGGAATATACACCTGCTTTCGGCCGTGTCTAATTAATTTTATTAAAAGATATTAATGCAACATTAACATAGCATTATCTATCTGAAATTAAAGACTTGTTTTATTAAGATGTTTTTTTTCTATTATTGTCCAACCACAAATGTTTTAAGGAATCGAATATTGTAACAGCTTTAATAAACTTGTTTGCATTGCTATTAAATGTCACTATGTTTATTACGAGCGGTACGTACACGAAAATAGATTACGGTATGAGCAATGCGTCATCAACGCTACAATTCACGCATACTTCGCAAGAATATTGGATCATTGTGCGGTGAGTCCAATTAATTCTCAAGTAAGGAAATTAGGACTACGACTGTGAAACGGCGCGCAGTTCTCACAACGTGCTCAACGAGACGTTGCTAATTGTCGCCGTATGGTTACCGATTTATTGCCCCAGACTAGCGTACTACTCCGACGTTTAAACTGTAAGTAAAAGGGCAATTAACGGTTGACCGCGACAAATAAAGCAACGAGAAAGGTATTCACGCAGGTGTCTGTTATAGTGTTAGGTAATGCGTCTTCTGTGCCAGTTCGGCTACGCCGAAACATGCATGCATCGTCGCTGAGACATTAGCGACGACTTCTTCGTTGCTTTCTTTTTGTAAAATATTAAAGAATTAAGACGCAATTAAAAACGTTTTTTTTTACAGCTCTATAAAGAACTTTATGTCTTATATAACAGTGTATAATTTTTTATCGCGTCATGCGTTCAATAAGTTAAAACAATGTATGTAATATTCTATTAGTCACCTAGATATGTACAGATATATTATTAATTTTCATTTATTATGTGCAATTTTTTAATTCTAAATAAAAATTCTAATAATTTGCGTTAATTTTTCTTCTCTATCAAAGGTCTAGTAGCCTATAAGATTGCATAATCGGGAGCATGATTGTGAAGCATATTTGCATTCTACAGATATGTTATATGCCGGATGCTGAAAACAATTGTGTGATATGGAAATGACATTTCCAGATACCAGAAAAAATATCGTTGGTGATAGCGCGACTCTACAAGTGCAGTTCAATTTAAAAAAAAAAACTTTATATGACGGTCCACAATGGAAACAATAAATCTTTTCACTTGCATCGTGTTAACAAACGTACAGACAAGAGCGTTATTTTAACTTTAACTCACGCTTATAAATTTTGACTTTGTTTCTCGAGATTCGTTCGTTCTTGATTTCTGTGCCTATCGTGGAAATTGTGTAAACCACGCTTTCTGCGCGACAGTTACTTTCATAAATATATTAAAAAGCCCAAAGAAGTTTGATTAAATAAAATTTATACACACTGTGATAGAATAACTTGTGTCAGAGAGTAACTTATGAATATTCTTCTCGCCTGTTTACTTAGCGAATTCGCCTCTCGAATATCTTCCTTGCACGATCAATTGCATAATTGAGGAAGTTTGGGGATTTTCGAACGTGATGGGTCCAGATCAGAGGGCGTGTTGCAGCGAATATCTAGTGAAAGTAGTGCGTCGTCTGGCGTCGCCGATATAAAAACCGATGAATCGGTGATATAAAGCACATTCAGACTCATCTTCTCACAGCACGTTCACCATGAGGGCCTTCTTAGTGAGTAGTAACATTTTTCGTCAAACTTCTTTCCTGCGGGTATCTTAATAGTCGTGACTGCACCATCGAGCAGCACTTAATACTTATCATATTAAGTAAAGAGGTGTAGTTCTCCAATTTACACAAATTTTTTATTATTAGCGGATATAAATTCTTTGTGTTGTAACATGATTGTCTAACTGTATTATTGGAACATTAAGAACAGAGTATAATATCTTCAATATCATACGTCTTGTTTAGATACTGAGTTTTTATTAATCACTCGACACTCGCAAATCGATCTTAATCTTGCAAATACATGTCTAATTGTAAATATAATCTCTTTCCACAGATTTCAATGTAACGTCGCCAGTTAATAGAAAAAATTAATATTACAGATTTCTTTAATAAAATAAAAATGTATTACAAACAAATCATAATTTTTCTTAACAATACATCTCAATGGCGAATCATTGCTTATAGGTTTCTTTGTTATTCGTCTCCGCTATCGCCGGTGATGCGACGGAGAAGAAGCAAATCAAACGTGGTCTTCTACACGAAGGAACATCGATACACGGACACGGCGGCTACATCCACCATGGTGGCGTATTGCACGGACACGGATATGGGAATGGATATGGGCATGGATATGGGCATGGATATGGACATGGATATGGGCATGGATATGGGCATGGTCACGGGTATGGATATGGGCATGGACATGGATACGGACACGGACACGGATACATACACGGACACGGATACGGAAACGGGTACGGACACGGACACGGATACGGAAACGGGTACGGACTAGGATACGGAAATGGGTACGGAAACGGATACGGATTTGGACATGGATACGGAAACGGATACGGATATGGGCCCGAAATTCTCCACGGAGGAATTGGTTCTGGAATCGGGATCATAGGAGGACCGCACGGTCACGGAATCTACGCACCAGGTTTCGGCGCGGGACACGGACCCATACACGTTCACAAAACCATTGTGAACCGTGTGGTACCAGTTCCAGTTCCCGTACCTCAGCCCGTCCCCGTCACTCGCAAGGTCCCCGTGCCGGTGCCGCATCCCGTACCTGTCGAAGTAAAGCGCCCCGTTCCGGTCCCGGTGCCCCAACCGATCCCGGTTGTCATCAGCAAGCCCTACCCCGTTGACGTACCTCGCCCGGTTCCAGTGCCGGTACCTCACACCGTGCACGTACCGCATCCAGTCCCAGTTCCACATCCGGTCCCGGTACCCGTACACCACAATTCGTATCCTATCCAACCAACCGGTTCCCATCTGATACAACCAATCGCTCCCATCGGGATTGGAGCGGCCGAAGCGGGAGCTGGCGCGATATATGAAGGCGAGCACGGTGCTGGTCTTGCCATTTCCGGTGGCATTTCCGGTGGCATTTCCGTAAGCGGTGGTGACGGCCTCGGCCCCATAGGCTCGGGACTCCACCTGGACGTGGATGCCGGCAGCGACGGATATTCTTATCCGGTACCGGCGAAGAAATTCTTTTAAGCGAAGCACACTCGAAAGAATCTGTTACTGGAGACATCTCCGATTTGCACGCCGACGCGATACATCTGCCGTTTTCGAGACCCCGGATACGCGGCACGCGGTTGGCCTCCAGTCACGCCACACCCATTAATCCCGCGTTTCACTTGATATTTATGGATTTCGCACGCCGCGGAAGGTCCACGAGCGAGGTCGTGACCTCGATTAAAATTCCGTCTAAAACCGCAAAGCGAAAAGGATCAAGGTGCATAAATATATTGGCATTTACTTTCGTGTTCTCGACAGTGACAAGGGAAAGAGAGAGAGTGCTGCATTTTGAAGACGTGAAAGTAACGCGATGCGAAATCCGAGGAGATGAATAATCATGCGGACGCGCGATAGAAGTAAGAAATACGACCATCTATTCGATATTTCCTGTTATGGTAATCCGATGTGAGGCAGGAGAAGATTGCTAACAATTCTTTCAAGATGTATCGCTCGCACGTTTACAGTCGGGTCGTATTCTAAGCATGATGCGCGGCCAATCATTCGTAACTATTTATTCGTCTCTCTCTCTCTTTCCCTCTCTCTTTTATCTATGAGGATACACTCATATAACGTAGAATACATTCAAACAATTATAAATAAATTATAAGTCTAATTACACATTGTTTTATTACACATATATGTCTGTAAAAGAAATATATCTCGAGTTGTTAATTTAACCAGCTTTGATTGTTTCCCCTCTGATACGATACCCTTATACCCAGAATCCTCTCGTAAAGCAGCAACTACGCGCGATATGATCGTGCGGGTTCGAGATACGCGAGTAGATTTACCCCGATTCGAAAGTGATTAAAGTTGCTACCTCCTTACCCGCATCGCATCCCCAAATTGCCGAAACTTTGACCTTGTGCTTTAGCAGACTCGACAACCACATAACCGTTTCGCACAGCCTCCGGCTGTGATCTCGGCTCTGCAGGTTATTCGAGTATCCAAATTCGTCGTGTTTAACTTACGCGTGCACGGGTACTGCGAGAAAAATGTGAAGGTGACAAAACAGCTTGCGCAAAGTATTAATCGTGACTGAGCAATGTTAACGAATTAGAGTAAATTTGCTCTTACGTCTCACTCCTTCTCTGTGTCGAGTATTATATCAATTAAAAACTTTTAATTTGAATTATCGTAAGTTCAGCACACGTGCGGGAGATATACCGGTATCCCATCAGTAACATCTTCGTGTTTAGTAAACCTGCCTTCGTTTCGCATTGAAAAATTTGGGTGTGTTGTACACTTTTTCAATTGCCTACCGTCATCTTCGTGATGGTGTCTGTAGTCGTAGAAGACGTACGTGCCTCGCTCATAGCAAAATCCTACACTCCGAATTTAAGGTAGCTACTGGTCCTTACGTATATATAAGGCGTCTCAAAATCACTATAATTTAACAGGACTTGAAAATATGACTACAACTTCTACATAGAGACGTAAATAACTTTTCAGTTTTACTGATGATCAAAAAAGATATTAAGATTCCACAATTTTAACAAGTGTTACTCTTTTCTGAAGAAATGCACTTCTATGACATACTGTTATAACATTTAATTTATTAACATATGTAATAATAAAAATATATATTTAAAGGAAAATCACGATCTGTTATGTTTTATCGAAAGTCTTCAAGTATCAAGGAAGAGAGAACGATAACGTGACCAAGATGTGTGATTTTGAGACACCCTGTACAGAAGGGCACGTACAGATATACATGCAGGTTCCCTCAGAAAGCTCCACCTGCTCTGCAAACACAACCACTTGTAGTAGTCACACATCCACCGTACGTAGTTACGTATACGTATGTGCTCTCTTCCCGTTTCCCCGCTGGAAAACCGGCAGTCACGCACTATTTTACGACTTTCGCCAGGCCTCTGAATTAACCCGAGCTTTTCCGGGTCCAGGGATGGCCCTTTATGCACCCCCGTCCAGAAATGAAGTGCATTCCTTCTATCTGTGGCGAGGGTTACGGTGTCGTTAAACCGCTGTCGTTGATATCACTCCGCGAAATCTCTCTCTGAAATCTCCCTCTTACGGCTCCCGCTCGAGCGTGAGTAAAGTTACGCAGCACACAAAGAAATTTTATACAACGATAGTGTAAACTTGCAATTTGCAAAAGTACAAAGCCTACATATACCGACGTCAGAGCCTGACATGTAATAATAATCACTTTAACTCCCTTTATATTTAAAGAATCGGGATACGTGGAGAGAAGATTTTTTTTACCGCTAATAACGCAACGAACGTTTCCGTTAATTTTATAATTTCTTGGTGTTCCTTCCCTAATAGCACAGTGCATTAGCTAAACATTGGCCCAATACAACCAAATGTTGGATCAATGTTTGACCAATGCACTGTGCTACTAGCGTTGATAAAAGTACGAAGTCTACATATTATACCGATGTCAAAGCCTGACATGTAATAATAATCACTTTAACTCTCTTTATACTCAAAGAATTAAGGAAAGAAAATTCTTTTACAGCTAATAACGCAACGAACGTTTCTATTAATTTTACAGTTTCTTCGCGTTCCTTGATAAAAGTACGAAATTCGTTCACACTTGGCCGGAAATAAACGTATTTTTAAATAATTATTATACTATACGCATTCGTTTGTATTTCATATAAAAAAAAGTCTCCCAAATCTTTCTAACACGAGAATAATGCATATTTCTCGTGTCAAATCTTTCAACACGAGAATCGTACTCACCACAGAGTTGCTCCGCCATTGCCCGATGCCTGCTAGGCCGCTGCGTCCTCTCAGATTCCTCCATTTCGCACTGGCACAACGCGATACTCGCGAAAAAGGAGCTAATTACCGAAGTAACGCACGACACGGCACTTCCGGCGGAATTACGAGCCGAATCTGGCAAGATGGCGTCGCGCGAACGTTTCTCTCGCCGCGCATCACGTGCGGAAAACTCTAATATTACTGCACGCGCGAGGAGATATGAATTAAAGTCGGAGAACTCGGGGTACTCGTGGCGCGCGAAGATAGACGGAGCCGTAGCGACGCCGACCGCTCGGGAGATTTCGGCCGGGATTTCCTAGATTTACGCGTCCCGGTGGATTACCGACGCGCGAGAGTCGAGTCTACGAGTCGCGCGATTGTTAAACTGGACGATAGTAAACTCACTGCGATTGTGCGTCCCGTGAAACGCGACGACCATCGCACAAGACCGATTCACTTGCGTGTCCACGAGCCTCCTCGAATGGAAACCAACATGGCGCCGTTCCCGGCAGCTACTACGGCGGTACTACGCGAGTCAACGACGCGATGTATCTCGAATAGCGAAAAAGTTTCTCTCTTCCGAGGAACGAAAACGACGTCCCGCGGCACCTGCAGAATCGATCGGCTCGATCGCGTGGTTGTGGCGTCGCTTAATTACGCGGAAAATGATCGCGCACATCGCCCCGTGGCGTACGTGCCGGCGGCTCGAACGATAATGCGAAGCGCGTAACGTCCTCTGACCGTGCGGCGGTCGTCGGCGGCGCGGCGGGCTCGACGTAAGAAATCACCGAGCAGTGCGTGGGTTTGAAAAACATTAAAATAATTTTGACAAATACTTGAAGAAAGATACGCCGTACCTGCACCGTTGATTTTCACGGACAAACCCTGCTTAGGAGTTATTTAAAAGTACGTTCATTTTCGGTCAAGTGTGAACGAATAAGTACGAAGTCTACATATACCGACGTCAAAGTCTGACATATAATAATAATCACTTTCACTCCCTTTGTATTTGAAGAATCAAGATACGTGGAAAGAAAATTGTTTTACAGCTAATAACGCAACGAACGTTTTTGCTAATTTTACAATTTCTTCGCGTTCCTTAGTAAAAGTTATTGTAGTTCGTTCCAGCAACGCAAAGGCTATTGTATTAAAAAAATATCGAGTGAGTATTCATAGTTCGTGCTTATATTTAAGATCATCTTAAGTATACCCTTAATGTGTTTTTAACCAATCACAGAGCCGTATTAGCCTCTTAAGACAACACTTAAAATAATTTTGAAATAAGAATCGACTACGAATACCGGCCTTAATTTATATAGAACTTACAGCGAATTCGGTTGCTTGCACTAGCGTGCACTGAGCGCACACTAAGGCTTGTTGACAGTCAATTCTTATATTTAAGGTTCGTCTCTTGAAATATTTCGGCGCCAGTCAAATGATCTGTATAGCGTCCATGCGGATTATTTTTTGGCTAAGTACTTTTTGAACGTGTATATTTAAGTTATCGCAGATAACTACTGGCATTAGTTATCGCAGATAGGCGTGCGTACTCGGTCATTTTACGTTAACTGATAATTAATAGGCGCAAGTAAATCGCAGACAATAAACGGACACCAACTCGCGCGCAGTTATAACAGCTGGCAACATTATTTAATTACCAAAAACGGCGCCAGCCTTAGCGAATCCGAAATGCGCGACAGGGTGCGGCAGGAGCGGAGCTAATTGTGAGCATTTATCTAATGTGAAGGATTTACAGACGATGTAAATTTATTCGCGAGACCCTCGCTTAATTACGCAGATTCCAAGGCATCTCTCGCAGGCAGTAGTCTCCCCCCCCCCCCCCATTTACGCTACGTAAGGCGCGCGCCGGGAAAAACAGAAATTAGTCTCGTATTACGGGGTGGGGGGGGGAGAGGGCGAGATGTTTGCAGTAAGTAACCGTTCTCGCAGAAACGGTCCCGCTATCATTATCATTTACGACTCGGTTTTTTACGATTCATCATTAAGTGTATCCCGGAGCGCGGAAATTCTTTTCACGGGCCCCGCGCTTTATCACGCGCTCCCTTATTGTCCAGATAACGTACGCGCGGCTCTTAGATACACGCGAGGGAATCGAACTCGGCGCTCGCGTTGTTCACGGGCGCCGAGCCTCCGAAACGGCAAGCGTCACGAAATTATTCGTAGAGAGGCGACGAGAGAGAACGGCCGGACTCGCGGGCGCCACGTCCCGCTCTTTTTCGTTTTTTTTTTCGGCGGGAGGGTGCAGAGGCGGGAGGGGGATGAAATATCGGCGGGACGATAAATCGCGCACCGTTCAGGTTTCGGAGCGCGCGAGTCGCGTAATGTAGCAGAACGGAGTCGAAAAATTGTTGCCGCGACCGGGGCAATCCGAGCCGCGGGGCACCGTAATGTGTTAATGACACGGGATGAAAACGACTCATCGTCTAGCGGCGATGAATCATTCTGAAATACGAGGAGCTTCGTCTATTTAATTACGATGTCGCGATGCGCCCGGACGCCCCGCGCGAGACAGGGGCGAAGTCTCCTCCCTCGAATTTTATATCGCTAGTTAACGGCGGCTGGTGTCCGCGCATAACGCTTATAAAGCCGTGCGTTCCGCTGTTTTTTTTTCCCTTTTGCTTTTTCTTTTCCTAAAAACGGTTGTCCGCCTCAAGCTCGCCCCGGCTCGTTTCGGAGTTTTATGTCGGGGCGCGAACCCGCTATTTACGATCGCCATTTCGCAGCATCGGACGCGACGTTTTTCTCTCCCTCCCGGATTCGCAGTCAAACGAATCGGCAGTTAACGTCGATATTTTTGAGCGTCTCGGGGGGGCCCCAGCTGACTTTTTATCGAGACGTCGACCTCAGACCCCGGCGATAGGCCGCAACGGCGCGGCGCGCGAAGCCGCAGGTCTGGTTGCCGCGTCGCAGGCTCGCGCGCCCAGCCGTCGACGTTTGGGCATCGGGGGCGACGAGGCGAGCGCCCGGGTTTTATTGCTTGTTTTGAAACGGTAAAACACACCGTAAACACGCCGTCACTGGACTCGTAAACAATGAAACTGCGCACGTATGAAAGTTACAGGATTAAACGCGCCGGCCGGATTATCGATTAGAATTTATACGGATCGTTCTACGGCCGTGGGACGTGGGACGTCGCGTCGCCGACGAGATGATACACCGCTCCTCGTTTCGTGAAAACGATGAACAAGCCGGGAATTAATCGAAACGTTTCGCGGATTTTTTCACCTCGCGATTTTCAGCGATCGACAATATTTCGGTTGCCGCCTACCAGCGCGAGGGATTCATTTGATATTCGCGACCCTCTGTCGATGTACACGCATCAGCAAATTGCAAATTCTTGCTAGCGTCATGTCTTGTCGACGCGCCGATTAAAGATAAGCCGAGTTCCCGGCCAGAATCCGGCGGGACCCTACGTTTATCCTACTCTGTATGCGGTAACCGCTCCTGGGTGGGCATGCTTTATCATATTCAGCGGACAATCGTCGGAATGCTAATCTTCCGCACCCCCCCCTCTCCCCTTATTCGGAAAATTAATGACCTGTTAATGACTGATGTAACGATTTGATTTATACGTCATTTGGATACGAACTTACTCGTACAAATCGTGAAAGCAGCATTCGGCAAATGTGGATAAAATAACGTTATTGCAAACTACCTCTCTCTCGCTTCCTCTGACACGTCGCACTGGCTGTCACAATGTTTTAATTTTCTTGAAAAACATTCTCGATTATACCATCCGACAAGTTATTAAAATATCTGTGCATTATGATAATGTAGCACAGTTCATACGACACACACACACACGCGCACGCACGCACACATCGCAGCCGCGCGAAATTTCGTTGACGTAGAATATTTTAATGCAGTCCATCGTGCCATTTGACATTAATAACGAAGTCAAAGAGACCTTGATAATATCATTTATCCCGTATAATCAGGAATATCCAGGTACCGGATTGGAATTTGTTGCACGTTTATAAATATTTGGCACACGCGAAACAGTCCGCGAGCCGACGGAAGCTTTATTTCGCCGTTTCATAATAATTCGCAGTATCGCGGAAACGAGTTAATATATTGACAGGTGACCCGTCTTCCAATCTCATCCCTCTGCCTCGAAAGCAAATTACTCGACCAAAGCGAGGAAATAGCGAGGGTTGCATTGAAAGGGTCCTTCCTGTCCACGACACGCAATGTCATATCACGTTATTGAGAGCTACTTGTCACTCCCTGCTTTGCCGTCATAGCAGGACGGGTACGTCCATGCCGATCATTCAATTAATTCGGACCTCACGCACATATCGGACGATCATCGCTCGCAAGCTCCGCACGACTAGCATTGTCATTTAATAGAGATTTCCCAAGAGTAAGTGCTCGCCATCGGTTTCGCGCTCGTGTTTCTCAAAAACGCGAACGCGGCGGGTGCTTTTACGGCGAATAATTAAAAATATCACGCGGCGTGCAGCTCTGACAAAACGAATACGATTGCGGATCTCGTTGTCTAAATTACACCGTCGCGACAAAAAGCTCAAGACGTATTTTACATGTTACATTTTTTAGCCGATATTTAAATTGTTTCACGAAACAATTTTAATTTTATTCGTGACAGTTCATTCGGTCCGCGAATAGCCAATGTTCAGGATATTAATCAGAAAACTATTAACGAATACCTTTCCTCTCTATTTATACTTATTAGAAATTTCGCGTGAATGTCCAATAAAATTTTCACGCTTAATTATTGCGGTAGAAAAATATCCAGCAACTTTCATGCGAAACTTCTTTCGGGTTCGACAAAATTTCGTGTGAAAATTTCAGCTTATCATTTTACGCGTTTGTTTCACTATTCAATATACGATTGCACTCGCGGTCATCTTATCTCACGTACCATTATTTTCGAGAGAAGCTGTTCTTTGAAGGACGCCCGATTCCTGCTGGAAAAAGGAAAGAAGCGGCGCCCATCCACGTGACCCTCGAACTATTGCCGTCCCTATCGCATTCACCGCTCGGTGCAGTCCAGTTTCATTCGAGCGTGATATAATAGCACATAGAGAGCTGAACGTGCCGCCCGTTTGACTGGCAGCAGTGCAGATTATTGGCCTCATGGGTCACAGGCCTTGTACCATTGCCGTTAGGCGTTCATTTATAAATGTCGTCGTTCTGACAAAGAAATTGATTACGATTGTCGCAGATAATCATCGATACTAACTCTCGTTCAGTGACCACGGTGTTTTCTGATCACGCAACGCGAACGTTATGGACAGAGGGAGAAAGAGGGAGAGAGAAAGAGAGGGGGTGAGGGGGCGAGCGAGAGTGCACTTTTTTCCGCTTCTTTCTCTTCCACGCTTTCCGTGTGAATTCAAGAAACCGTTGCCGTTTTAATACGAAAACCAATAGCGATAAGCGGATTTCGTCGCTGTCTATATTAAAATCTATTTTTTAATTTGATCCTCTCCGCGCAGAAGTCGAAGTTGAAATCTACATAATGAAATGCGATATTCAGAATTTTTAATCAAATTCCGGGGCGATGCTCTCATTTAATTATTAATACGCTTTAAAATACGAAACGTTGATATTGTACAATAAGAAATTCTATAACCGAAATACCATCCACGTTGTAAATTATATATAAAGATTTAGAAGCAGTACGTTATGAAATATTCTAGTCAGGACCAGACGGTATTAGGAACATTTCTGTTTCTTTTCCGCTAAAATATCTTTCTCAAATGTTAACAAGGGCTACAAGGTGATTTATTAGGTTTAAAGTTAGGCGCTCATTTATAAATGTCGTCGTGCAATACTCTCCTTTGATCATTAACGTATTTCAAACTAAAAAAGATATTGTATTGTACAAGAAGTCCTTTAAAATTTACCCTCAAAATCCAGTAATCGTGGGACAACGTGGCATTTACAAGAACTTTATGAGAGTTTTTGGAAATTCTACTAGGAAAATGTATAATAATTTAGAGATTAAACGAACTTACCAAGTTAAAGTTACTTACAAAATTCTTGGAAATGCCATACGTTGTCCCACGATTACATGATTTTCAGGATAAACTGCGGGAGAAAATTCCCTCCCCGTGTACATCTTCCAGAATTGTACCATAAAGATTCTCAAATATTAACAAGCGCAATAAGGCAGCGTATTAGGTGCGGTCCATTTTGAACAATTTATAACTCGCGGCAGGAGACGCCAGGGAAAATCCTATTTGCAACCTCATATGCCGTGTAACATGAAAATTATTGGAAACCGCAAACAACACATACTTATATATTCCGAGCGCATATCCAAATACATCCGAACAAACTGAATATAAAACAATAAATAAAATCCTATCTTGAAACCTGACGCGGATTCACGGATCGTCTAAAGCGGGCTTAGAAGAGAATCCCGCGAGAGGGCGCCATTTCTCGTTGCGGGGGTTTATGGGGAAAAGTCCCGGCGTGAATTCTGAAACGGTGAGATTTCCGACGGGGAAGGTTCCGCGGCGAAAAGACGACCGATCCACCCCGACGGCTGTTGCGTCCTGACGCGGTCGGCCGGCGCTCTCTCGCCTCTCACCGGCCGCAACGCGTCGCGCACGTTGCGTTCGCGAAACGGTGGGGGTTCGAAAAGTCGCGCCGGCGGGGAGAGGACGCGGCTCCGGCGGCGGCGCGGCACGGAGAGGGGGAAGACGGTTCGTGAAGAGCGGACGGGTGGGGGCTCCCTCTGGTGGGTGTCTCGTATCAGTCGAGCCGTGTGCCGCGTCGCGGTAGTGTCGTACTGTGGTGCACCGTTTCGCGCGTTCCGTTCGGCAGCCACGACGATGACGTCTTCCTCGTTCCGACTATGAGCGACGCGCGCCCATCGCGGAGATCACCGGGCACGTTCACCCCGCCGTCACTGCCATTGGTCGCTTCGCATTCGCGCGCGCGGAGCCGTTCGGGCGAGCGTCAGGGATACCAACGGACCCCGCCGTTCGTTTCTCGACCGGACGTTCCTTCGTCCTGCGGTTCGCGTCGCCGCGTGCGTGTGTCCGCTGTGCCGCCAAGGGGGAAACTTCAACGCGTGGAATAGCCGAGCGTGACCGTCGCGAGTGACCGCGCGAGGAAGAGGCCCGCAGGAGGAGGAGGAGGAGTCGGAGTTGTCGCGTGCGCCGGCCGGGCGCCTCTTGCTCCGTTTGGGCGAGAGTGAGCGCGCGAGTTGGAAAGGATCCTCGCAACGGGAGTAACGTGCCGTCCACGCCGTCCGCTCGAAGAGGAACGTCGGCTCACCTCGGCGGACTTTCGCGTCTCTCGCCGGGAGTGCGCGATTCCGCGGATCAGCTGTTGACCTGAACGCGTGAGTAACCGACCGGAGGATTGCTTCCCGTCGCGTGTGTGTCGTACGTGCGCGGGTGTGTGTGAGATCTCTGAAAATTTGGCCCTCATCGAATCTATTCCCGCGCCGCGTTTGTTAACCCCTCGCCCTCCGGCCCTGCCGCCTCCGCGCGGAAGCGGAAAGGGAGACGTGTATCTTGGCGACGAGCCGAAGAAGCGGTACATGTCAAGCGGCGAGCGTGACCGCCGCAAACTACCTCCTCCCTCGCCCGTCGACGCCCCGCGTGTCTCAGGGTCGCCGGCGAGACGATCCTCGTTAGTGCCGCGGCCGATCGTGGGAGGAGAATGTCGCTCTAGAGGCTGCGGACGCGGCCGGCAGATCCACTTGGCGAATCGACCGAGTCCACCGATCCCGAGCGATCGTCGCGCGCGCGCCTCGATGGACCTTGCCGCGTCGTCGTCTGGAGGGCGGCCGCGCGGCACGGCAGTAGCCGCCGACGGATAATCGCAATCGCCGCGGGATCGTCGCGAAACGTGAGAGACCACGTCGGAGAGACGCGAGAGAAACAGCGGCCAGGATGACGATGGCGAGTAACATCGTGGTCGAGTGGCTGCGCTCGCTCCACCTCGGCCAGTACTCGGAGTCGTTCATCGACAACGGCTACGACGACCTCGAGATCTGCAAGCAGATCGGCGACCCGGACCTCGACGCGATCGGCGTCTTCAATCAGAAGCACCGCGCGCGGCTTCTGCAGTCGGTCAAGACCCTGCGCGAGGAGGGCGCCGCGAGCGTGTACTTTACGCTCGAGGAGACGACCAACGACACCAGCTGCGACAACATCAGCTCCAAGTCGTCGCGGACGTCGTCCGAGCGGCCGCCCAGCGACAAGGAGGCGCAGCGCGCCTCGCCCACCGCGAGCTCCTCCAGCGGCGGTCAGGAGCTGTCCAAGTTCGCGGACGAGTACGAGGAGGGCAAGGCCGAGCTGGTGAGAATCCCCAGGATGCAGCTGAGGATGCTGCTGCAGGAGAAGCTCAGGCACGACGGCATCAGGCTGGCCTGCCAACCGTACACCACGCCGGTGAGTCTCGCAAAAATGCTAAACGTCTGCGGCTTTGTCGCTTTTTAAACGGACAGTTGGAAAGAGGCTAACTAATTTCTACCATTTTCGCTCTAGCGTAAGATACAGAATCGACCCTTTGTAGAGAACGTAGGCTCTGTCGACGAATATCGTACAAGTTGAAGGTCGCAGGTCGGGCAAGCATAGAACGATATTGACGTCGAGACAGTGATCACTCTCGGATTTCTGTTACCCAGACCAAAAATATTCTTGACGCATTTATATTTCTCGCAACCTCATTTAGTATACAAATAAGACAATGTCGAAATAAAATCAATCATTCTCCTCTATCGAATGAAAGAAGACTGATTTGCTATGTTGAGACAAGAGTAACTTATATAAATGTAAGTTAATATATACTTGCGTTTGGAATAAGTTTTCCCTCCATCTTGCAACGCACGAAGTAGACACCGCGATATTCGACAAAAGACGATCTATCATTTTATTCTAGATTTTTACAATTTTTCATTTAAGATTACAGTATTCCTTTCTCTATAATGAAGATGATTGGCGCTATATCGATCCTACTTTATGATACATTCAAGTGCAATAGCGTTGGAAATTTTTTCCTGTGAGTGTGAGCAACGAGAGGGTAGATCGACGTAGAGACATGTCGAAATCGAGGAAAACTATCGAGTATGAATATATTCGCCAACTTAGAAAGTAGTTAACACCGAACGAATAGTCAATGTATCGATGAAATGCCGAACAAGAGACATTTTTTACAAAAACTATAAAAACCCCGTTATGGTTCCTTTACCTTTTTAACAAGGTAAAGTATAGCGAAAAGTATAGTGAAGATAATTTTGCGTATGCACATCAAGTAGAAAGTTCTGGTAAATCAGCTAATAGGTTCTATTCATGATAATCTCTTTAGACGAAAGGAGAGTTTGCTTATTGTCGCCAGTAATGATTAAAAATTGAGACGGGAAACTTATAGTCAACCCAACTGGCTAATTATTGAAGTTATTCAAAAGCATTCATTCTCGATATTTTATTCGTGTAGAAAACATTTAGTATTTTTCTTGAAATTTTTTCGTGTAGAAATTTTCGTGTTAAATTTTTAACACACTCTTATGTTAATGTAACATATTATAGTTATGTTACTTTGACTTTTCTGAGTTGAGTTAATACTCGCCGTTTTTAAAAGTTAAAACAACACAATTAATATGTAAATGCATGGATATTTTATGATACATTTTATATGTTAAAAAGAACGGAATAATTATGTCACTTCTTCCTCTAGAACAGTTGCTATCTGTTTTAAATCGACATTTCTTTTATGTTATTTATCATAAAGAGATATCGCGCTGCCTTTTGTTGTTGCCAGAAAATGATTGTCGAGATCGAGGTTGAGAAAACATCGAATAATCGATAGTATCGAATGTCGATAAACATCTGTAAGATGTTCGAGCTGATAGCGTGTATTTCGCGTGAAAGATAAGATGATTATACCTTTCACCGCGCACTGTTAATAAAAGGAGAAACGTCACCAGTTGCGAGTTAATAAACTATAATCTTTCCGATTACATTTATGCCCGTTTGCAATGACGAAATTAGTTCGATTTGCTTTGCGAGAAATTACCAATTCACCAAGTTACGATTAAATTTTCGAACACGGGAATAATTCGTACTCGGTTGAAATGAGATTAGTATATAAAAGCTCTGGAATATATGTAGTTTATATATATATATTTACATATGTAATGTTATATTTATATAACTTGTGATGCGCATGTAAGTATCAGATTTACAATACGAGTCTAAAGCACACAACATAAATTATTATGTAAATGGAATTGCATATTATATGACGGGAATAATACGACTGTTTTACCGCATGTAAAACTCCACGAAACGCATGTTACTTGCCGCGTGAATACTGTTTGGACGATACAAAGGGCGCATTTTTTTCTCGATATTCCACGACTCCTGTACACTCCCTCGTGTCTCCCAACAACGGCGCGAATAGATAACGTTGCGTTGGATTAAATTACTAATTAATTCCGTAAACGACAGTGCTGTCTCGCTCCTGGTGACGTGTCGCGGGCAATAATTGTCTTCCATTTTCCTCACGTTGCCGACGTGGCGTCGTCTTTAATACATTACGATACGCATCGCGATCCGCAGCCGCGACAATGATACTCGAATTATCGAGTGAATTATCGGACGGGCGCTCAGGTGTGCCAGTCATAAGGGGAGGAGGGACGTAGCCGAGACGATGATAGTGCTGAAAACTCGCAGCCCTCACGTGGCACGCCCCACGAGCGTAGATAATCCCCTGATTCATTATTTCGTTGCATTAGCCACCAACCCGAGATAAGAACGAGCGTGCCATACTTTACCTTCTCTCCCCCCCATGCACGTTTCTTATCCTCCTCCCGTCCTCGGACAAGATGTTCGATCGTACGTTACATTTTCACTTTGCTTACACTGAGAAAAAACATATGTTTAGCGGTTTCTTTAGTTGAATTATTAAGTAAATTTAGCGAGATATATTTTTGAGTTAACCAGTATTTTTGTGAATTAATATTTATTTAATTGACAGCGTTTAGTTCGAGGGGGAAACCGCCGAGGGCATTGCGGTGTACAGATTTGCGGCATTACAGGGCATTATAAAGATATAATAAGATAAAACAAGATAAATAAGATAATAAGATTTTGGTCAGCGGTTTTCCCCTCGGTTTAGTTAAATAAAAAAATATCTCTTTAATTCGACACTCTCCTTTTCCGAGCGTACGAGGCCGATTTTCCTGACAACTTTAACGTTTATCTCGAGGAACAATTTCAATTTTCACCCTCGCGTACAACTTATTTTCTCTCAACTTGTATACATTTGTAAGTTTGCTTCATTCTTTACCGCGCGTTAGCATAACGTAAAGTTACAAATGTATCTTTGCATCTTGGCCTTGTTACATGCCTAATGTAATGCAAAACATATTTTCTATGCTGTTGGGGGTCTAATTAAGGCACGGATTCGTAGCGATACGCCCGCTGAGGGACTCTCTGTCAGCCGAAATGCATTTCCTCCGGAAAACTTTCGCGCGAGGTAGGAAACACAGTGAAAGCCCCGCGTTCGCGTGGTTTATATTCTATAAGATTGCCGCGAATATGGAAATCGCGAGTACGGAAAAGAGTAGTACAAAGATTTGGGGTTTCAAACGAAAAAGGGAATTGCGTAACGAGGAAGAGCGCGTTTCAAAAATGAGAAACGAATTTTTATTTTCTCGCCTTACCTGGCGTTGTTGTAATTTAGCGCAGTCAAGAAACAGAACGGAGTAGAGAGGCAGGTAGAAGCGATTGCGCATTTTATGCACGGTCTAAGAAAAATGGGGTTTTTGGTATTGTGTTCTGAAAAGGCATTGGTATTTCCTACAAAAAAAGGACAGGAGAAAGAATTCCGGAGATAAGAAAAACAGTTCAAAATGGAGGCTTTTGAAATCGTCCCCGCTCGCTCTTTTTCTCCACTTCCGTGCGAGACTAAATGAATTTTATAGAGGAAAGTTATGAGACAGGCTTTCTAATATGAGAACAGGTTCTCAACATCCAATTTTACTAAGTTTTTTTTAGCAACAATTACACGCACTAACAATGAATTTTCCGCTAAACAAGACTTCACTTCGAAGGCAACAAATTCATAATGGGGCCGACAGATGATGCCTATTTATTTAACTAAAACCGCCGCTATCTCATAATAAAATCGTATTTCATAACAGGGGACTCTATTAATATACAAATACGAAAACGAGATACCCGCGAAATACCGACGGGTTAAGAATACGCGAGCGTGCGCACACTTATGTTGGTACTTATCTCCGCGTACTTAGCAAGTAAGTCGCTCTTAATATAGTTAAGTCGCCCCGCTGAGATTTCGATCCCCATAATTTCGTTGGCGGAGTTGAATGCGCGCCGTGAGGATGCTGGTCCCGCGTATACTCGAGACACGTAGTTCCAAAGCGCGATGGGTAATGCGAGCAACCGCGAGCGGAACGAGATCGCGGGTGATCGATCGGTCGGATCGCAAGATGCATCGTGAACAATATTCCCATTGTCTGACACATGTAAAATTAGCGGTGGATTTAATTAAAGGGCTGCGCTGAATTTGAGCGAGGCGGACCGAGTTTACGTGCATTCGGCGCGCAGCTGTATGCAGCTTGACACGTCCTCCGTTGCTGCGTATTCGTTTACGTTGCAAGAATCGCGTGGGGAATGGCGAAAAAAAGAATTAAAATTTTTCGCGCACACAATTTTCCTTCGCGCTGACTTGTGTGGTTTAAAAACTATCTCCCCTCTACCTTTTGTCATTTTGCGACGAACAACGCGAAGCCGTACACGTGAAGGCTGCGTTTTAATTCCTGAACTTTTTGAAACATGATTTTCGTAAAGTATAATACAACTATTGTGAAGGTTCGTGAATAGAAAATTCGCGATAGCATTATTTTACTTAGGGCCAGTTTCACAAATATCGGTTAACCGCTAACCAAAGGTTCATTGATTATCTGATTCTTCTTAAATAATAAAATGGAAAAAGATAGGGAGTCGACTGAACTCTGGTCAACAGTTATGCGACGTTTGTAAAACTGGCCCTTAACGAAAAACTCGTACGAGCTGCGTAATTACAAACGCTCCGCGTTTCTAAATTTAATAAAAACAATAATTTAACAAGCACAAGACTTCGTGGCACATTTATGTGACGTTTGAGTGTAAAATATACTTTGTATTTTTGCGCTCCCAAACTTCATTCGGTCTACACGGAGAATTTTTTATCTAACATTTTTTTGTTTATTCTTTGACGCGGCGCAAAATAGACGGGCGCGATTAAATTGGACAATCGAGAATAAAAGTGCGCGCGTCGAGTGACAATTTCGAGAATGATTAGTCATGCGCTCGTTATCGGAATTACGAAGCCGCAGAGCTTTATCGTTCTGAAAACAAGTTTAAAGCTCCGCTTTGTTGCTAAT